CGTTAGAAAACTAACGTTAAATTAACGGTTAAAATTATGACATAAAAGTAACGTTATATTAACGTTAGAAAACTAACGTTATATTAACGTTAGAAAACTAACGTTAGATTTACGTCAGAAAACTAACCATAAACTAACGGTTAGAAACCTGATGTAAAATTTACGTTAGAATAACGTTAGAATTATAACCAATAATACATATATAATTATTATGTCTGAATTCCAACTATTTATCAATTGTTAGAATGTGCACGCACTTGTAATGTTATTTAATCAAGAAGTATTTAAAGCGAAAAAAATTGGTTAGTAATCCGTCATAAAGTTTACGTTACATTTACGTCATTTTCTGACGTAAAAGTAACCATAACCATTATGACGTAAAAGTAACGTAAATTTAACCAAAGAATTTTACCATTATTGGACGCTAACCAAAATCTAACCATAATGACGTAAACTTTACGTAAATCTAACCATCAATGTTAACTGGGAGAGAGAGTACGACTAAGCGTTCAGGTGTCTCTGGAGTGTGAAGGGATCCGCAGAGGATGCTAAATTGCCTGATAAAGTAAAATAAATAATCCCAAGATAGAGACGATAAAACCCGACACTCGATAGGAAGGAACAGAAGGGCGTAAGATTCCCTTTAGTTCTAATTAACCGATAGTGATGAAACTTCAAATATAAATTCATGAAGTTACGGTCCGATATGCGCGACTATCGAAAGGAACCAAGATCTTTGTGTTATAAACTTACATTTCAAGTTTCAACAAAATCGGATAAAAATTGTGACCTCTATAGGGTCCACAACCTTGATATACCATATTTTTACGCTATTTGAGAACGAACGGCGGCCATTTTGTCTGTCAGTTTTGGGCCGATTTTCACGAAATTCGAACTCAGCCGTCCTTAGGGTGTAACGGTGATATATTAACACGTTTTTTTAAAATCGGATAAAAATTATGACCTCTATAGGGTCCACAAACCAAAAAACGCGTTTTTGCGTACAATCAGGGGCCATAATTCATGAAGTTACGGTCCGATATGCGCGAATATCGAAAGGAATCAAGATCTTTGTGTTATAAACTTACATTTCAAGTTTCAACAAAATCGAATAAAAATTGTGACCTCTATAGGGTCCACAACCATGATATACCATATTTTTACGCTATTTGAGAACGAACGGCGGTCATTTTGTCTGTCAGTTTTGGGCCGATTTTCACGAAATTCGAACTCAACCGTCCTTAGGGTTTAACGGTGATATAGTAATACGTTTTATTAAATCGGATAAAAATTATGAACTCTATAGGGTCCACAGGGGCCAAAATTCAGGAAATTACGGTCCGATATGCGCGAATATCGAAAGGAACCGAGATCTTTGAGTTATAAACTTACATTTCAAGTTTCAACAAAATCGGATAAAAATTGTGACCTCAACAGTGTTCACAATCCAAAAAGGTGATTTTTCGTACAATCAGGGACCATAATCCATGAAGTTACGGTCCGATAGATGCCAATATCGAAAGGAACCGAGATCGTAGGGTGATTAACCTATATTGCAAGTTTCATTGAAATCGGATAAAAATTGTGACCTGTAGACTGTTCACAAACAATTGTGGACGGACGTCCGGACGGACGGACAGGGGCGACGACATAATGTGGGCGTATAAAAATACGGGTCCTAATACGAAATTCCAGTTATCATGCTGGATATCACTAGAAAGCACAGTCACTGCTCTTTCCAAATATATAAATAGTTTTCTGGCACATTCACATTTACTTGCCTTGAGAGGGGATCAAAGACGAACGGTACAAAAATCTATTAAATGGTGGTGTGGGGGGGGGGGGGGTATTTAAAGTAAAAATACGGGTCTTAATACGAAATTCCAGATATCAAGCTAGATATCAGTAGAAAGCACGGTCACAGCTCTTTCCAGATATATAAATAATTTTCTGGCACATTCATATTAATTGCCTTGAGAAGTGATCAAAGACAAACGGTACAAAAATCTATTAAATGAAGGGGGGGGGGGTATTTAAAGTAAAAATACGGGTCTTAATACGAAATTCGTGATATAATGCTACATATCAGTAGAAAGCACGGTCGCTGCTCTTTTCAAATACATAAATAGTTTTCTGGCAAATTCATATTTACTTGCTTTAAAAGATGATTAAAGACGAATGGTACAGAAATCTATTAAATAATGGGGGGGGGGGGGCGTATTTAAAGTAAAAATACGGGTCTTAATACGAAATTCCAGATATCATGCTAGATATCAGTAGAAAGCACGGTCACTGCTCTTTTTAAATATATAAATAATTTTCTGGCGCATTCATATTTACTTGCCTTGAGAGGTGATCAAAGACGAACGGTACAAAAATCTATTAAATGATAGGGGGGGGGGGGGTATTTAAAGTAAAAATACGGGTCTTAATACGAAATTCCAGATATCATGCTACATATCAGTAGAAAGCACGTTCATTGCTCGTTTCAAATATATAAATAATTTTCTGGCACATTTATATTTACTTGCCTTGAGAGGTGATCAAAGATGAACGGTACAAAAATCTATTAAATGATTGGGGGGGGGGGGTATTTAAAGTAAAAATACGGGTCTTAATACGAAATTCTAGATATCATGCTAGATATCAGTAGAAAGCACGTTCATTGCTCTCTTCAAATATATAAATAATTTTCTGGCACATTCATATTTACGTGCCTTGAGAGGTGACCAAAGACGAACGGTACAAAAATCTATTAAATGATGGGGGGGGGGTATTTAAAGTAAAAATACGGGTCTTAATGTGCGAAATTCCTGACATATTGCTACATATCAGTAGAAAGCACGTTCATTGCTCTTTTCAAATATATAAATAATTTTCTGGCACATTTATATTTACTTACCTTGACAAGCTATCAAAGTTGGATAATACTGAACTCTATTAGGTAATTACTGATGGGGGTGGGGGTATTCAATGTCTAATTACGGTTCTTAATACGAAATTCCAGATATCATGCTACATATCAGTAGAAAGCACGGTCACTGCACTTTCTAAATATATAAATAATTTTCTGGCACATTCATATTTACTTGCCTTGAGAGGTGACCAAAGACGAACGGTACAAAAATCTATTAAATGATGGAGGTGGGGCTGTATTTAAAGTAAAAATACGGGTCTTAATACGAAATTCCAGATATCATGCTATATATCAGTAGTAAGCGTAGTCACTGCTCTTTCTAAATATATAAATAATTTTCTGGCACATTCATATTTACTTGCCTTGAGAGGTGACCAAAGACGAACGGTACAAAAATCTATTAAATGATGGGGCGGGGGGGTATTTAAAGTAAAAATACGGGTCTTAATACGAAATTCCTGATATCATGTCACATATCACTACTGAAAAGCACATTCATTTCTCGTTTCAAATATATAAATAATTTTCTGGCATATTTATATTTACTTACCTTGAGAGGTGACCAAAGACGACGGTACAAAAATCTATTAAATGATGGGGGGGGTATTTAAAGTAAAAATACGGGTCTTAATACGAAATTCCTGATATCATGCTACATATCAGTAGAAAGCACGTTCATTGCTCTTTTCAAATATATAAATAATTTTCTGGCACATTTATATTTACTTACCTTGACAAGCTATCAAAGTTGGATAATACTGAACTCTATTAGGTAATTACTGATTGGGGTAGGGGGTATTCAATGTCTAATTACGGTTCTTAATACGAAATTCCAGATATCATGCTACATATCAGTAGAAAGGACGTTCACTGCCCTTTACAAATATATAAATAATTTTCTGGCACATTCATATTTACTTGCTTTAAGAGGTGATCAAAGACGAAGGGTACAAAAATCTATTAAATGATGGGGGGGGGGTATTTAAAGTAAAACTACGGGTCTTAATACGAAATTCCAGATATCATGCTAGATATCAGTAGAAAGCACTGTCACTGCTCTTTCCAAATATATAAATAATTTTCTGGCACATTTATATTTACTTACCTTTATAGATGATCAAAGTCGAGTGAAACAAAACTCTATTGAATGATGGGGGTGGGGTATTCAAAGTAAAAATACGGGTCTTAATACGAAATTCCAGATATCATGTTACATATCACTGAAAAGCAATTTCATTTCTCTTTTCAAATATATAAATTATTTTCTGGCACATTCATATTTACTTGCCTTGAGAGGTGACCAAAGACGAACTGTACAAAAATCTATTAAATGATAGGGGGGGGGGGGGGTATTTAAAGTAAAAATACGGGTCTTAATACAAAATTCCAGATATCATGCTACATCTCAGTAGAAAGCACGTTCACTACTCTTTTTAAATATATAAATAATTTTCTGACACATTCATATTTACTTGCCTTGAAAAGTGAAAGAAAGGGTGGGGGGGTATTTGATATTAAAATGCGGGGCTTAATCTAAAATTCCGTAGATCTATACTGAAAAGTAAAGTTAATCCTCTCTTGAAATGTATTTATTATATTTTCGGCGGAATGCATATAACCATTTTAAATTAAAATTGATACAAGTTTGGTAGCCTTCACTGGCTGAATTAAAGATAGTGGTGGGGTGGGGCGAGTGTTTAATGTCAAAATACGTGTCTTAATACGAAATTCTAGTTTCTATGGCTCTTTAAATCTACTTGTTATTTTCTGGCACATGCATGATAACATACTTTAGAAGAGATAAAAGCATTTTTATTTTGAGCAAAGAAATGGGTTACTAAAAATAGACTACTTTCAATTCATTTAATTATCGAAGGCTCGGATTAGCCCATACCGAGCACGTGATTTCACTGAAGTCATGGTCATCCAGCGAATTTGTAAGTGACGGCCAGCTTGATTCGCAGTTAGTGACGGGTGAGTATTCTTAGTGAAGGATGAGAAAGTGACGGCTGATTTGATCTCGGCCCTGCTAGTTTTAAACAAAATTGACAATATTTTTCATCAAAACAACGATTGATTATTGTTATTTATAATATTTCCGCCACACCCAACTACAATTAAGCATAGAGGCGTGAGGAGTGGAAAGCAGTGGGTTAAAAAGATTGATGTTTTAAATCCAACTACTACTATTAGAAATGATACAGTAAAAAGACACAGAACAGTAAACAGGGGCAATCTTGTTACTATTCCAATAATTTCTGAACAAATCGATCAACGCCCAGACAATACACAATTGTGTCTTAATGCATGGCCCGTCGAAAATAAAACAGTCGCTTTGAATGATTATATATACGACAACAATGAAGTAATTGGGAGAAATCAAAGACATTTAAAAGTTATCACCACCAACAGACCATATGAACCTCTAAACACTAATCCACTGAATATTAACATTAATCATAGCAATCTCATCCAGCTTACCTCAAACTCTATCAAAAATCACAAACAGATCAAAAACTTTAGAACAAAACAGAAGATAAAGAACAATCTTATACAAATTAGAAAGGCGGTCGAAAATGAAGCGTCAGTATTAACAACTTCGTTTGGATTAATTAATGCCAGATCCGTAAGAAATAAAACAACAATTTTATCTGATTATATTTTTGAAAATTCTATTGATATTTGTGGAATAACTGAAACGTGGCTGAATAATGACTGTTCGGACTCATCGACAATCGCAGCTTTAGTACCTGATGGATATTCTATACAACATTGCCCTCGCGGTTCACGTGGAGGAGGCGTAGCACTTATATTTAAGTCATCTATTAAGTGTAAGAAAATCCGTCATGACCGTTTTGATTCTTTTGAAATTTTGGATTGTTCTCTACAGTTTTCTTTCAAGGAAACTAGGATTATTACAATTTACCGCCCGCCCAATAGCAAATTGTGTCAAAAGTTTATGGAAGAATTTGGATTATTTCTGGACCAGTTGATGATGACTAAGTGTTGCACTATTATTTGGGGAGATTTTAATTTTCATGTTGATGATTCCAACGACTCTACCGCGGTTGATTTTTGTGATATGCTGAATAATAGATCTCTCACACAACATGTTTCTTCTTCTACTCATAACGGTGGACATATTCTCGATCTGGTGATAACTAATCCACGTGATATTAAACTGGATAATCTCTCTGTCTCGGACAAATTAATATCTGATCATTTTCCGGCAACTTTTAATCTTATGATCCAGAAACCACACCCAACAAGAAAGACTTTAACATATCGAAGGTTTAAATCATTTGACATAAATAAATTTAAAGCGGAAATAGTGAACTCGAATTTCAATGGCATTCAACGTATTCAAGATATACAAGAGAAGGCAACCCAATATCACTCAAAGCTTGCTGAAATTTTGGACTCGCTTGTTCCTCTTCAAACGAAAACATTTACGATTCGTCCCAATACGCAGTGGTTTAATGATTCTATTTTAGAAGCCAAAAGGGACCGTAATAAGGCTGAACATCTGTGGCGGAAAACAAATCTACATGTCCATAACAGATTTATAAATCTTTAAAAAACAATGTGAATAAATTAATTGATGGTGCTAAAATTAAATTTTACTCTGATAAAATAGAAAATGGCGAAAACAGACAAAAAGACCTGTATAAAGTTGTGAATTCCCTTTTGGACCATAATGCTGAGCGTACTATCCTCCCGGACAATGATAATGACACTGAACTTGCAAATTTATTCTCTGATTTCTTTCAAATAAAAATACAGAAAATACGAACTGAACTTGATGATTTAAATAAAACTATTGACTTTAACGCTCATGATTTTGATAAGTTAGAAAATTCTGTTTATTTAGAAAATTTTAACTTGGTTAGTGAATCTTTTATTTTAAAGCTAATTAAATCGTCTGCTCCTAAATCTTGTTCATTAGATCCTGTTCCGACTTCTGTTCTTAAGGACTGTCTAGACGAAGTTATTCCAGTTTTTACCAATATTATTAATTCTTGTATATCATCCGCTACTATTCCCAACGTTTTCAAACGAGCTTATGTTACCCCTTTAATTAAAAAGTCTACACTGGATCCTAATGTTTTTAAAAATTACAGGCCAGTCTCTAACTTAAGTTTTATTTCTAAAATATTGGAGAAATGTATTGCTTCTCAGATAAAGGCCCATCTAGATGATAACTGTTTGTATGAACCATTTCAAAGTGCTTATAAACAATTTCACAGTACCGAAACAGCTTTAACCCGGGTTTCAACTGATATTTTAATGGAAATTGATAATAGAAAATGTACAATTTTAATTTTATTAGATTTATCTGCTGCTTTCGACACGGTGGACCCTTCAATTCTTCTACGTAGACTTCAATTTAAATTCGGTATTTGTGGCTCTGCATTAAATCTTTTAGAGAGCTATCTTGTGGGTAGAAAACAGTATATTTTAGTTAATTGCAAATCGTCGTCTGAATCTGTTTTGTCATCTGGGGTTCCCCAAGGTTCTGTTCTTGGTCCGATTTTATTTACCCTCTATACGCCACCATTAGGAGATATTGTCAGAAAATATGGTCTCAGCTTTCATTTGTATGCCGATGATACTCAATTATATATTTCATTTACACCTAATTGTCCATCTTCTTTCAATTTATCAAAATTGCAACTTGAGAACTGTATTAGTGAAATTAGAAAATGGATGTCAAAGAACTTTCTAAAATTGAATGATGATAAAACCGAATATTTGTTATTAGGCTCAAGGCATCAATTAAGTAAATCTGCACAAGATAACCCCCCTGTTGTAATTGGTAATTGTGATATATTTTCATCTTATTCTGCTCGTAATATTGGCGCTATCTTTGATAGTTTTATGCTTATGGGAGCTCAAGTAAATAATATTTGTAAATTGTGCTATTTTAATATTAGAAATATAGGTAAAATACGTAAATGTGTAACTGTAGAATCCACTAAGTCACTTGTTAATTCTCTGGTCACTTCTCGATTAGATAACTTTAATTCACTTTTAGTTGGTTTACCTTTAAAGCTTATAGATAAATTACAAAAAGTACAAATACTGCGGCTAGACTTGTTACTTTAACTAAGAAATGTGACCACATAACTCCTGTTTTATATAATTTACACTGGTTACCTGTTAAATATCGAATTGATTTTAAGATTTTATTACTTACTTTTAAATGTTTAAATAATTTAGCTCCTGTTTACCTCTCAGATCTTTTAGAACTTTATACACCTGGCCGAACATTACGTACATCAGATAAACTACTTTTAAAGCCCAAAACTGTTCAACTAGTCTCCTATGGTCAGCGCTCTTTTAGTTATCAAGCACCTGTTTTATGGAATAATCTACCATTTAGTTTAAGATGTTGTACATCTCTGTATTCTTTTAAAAAACAAATTAAAACACATTTATTTAATCAGGCTTTTAACTGACTCTGTATACAATCGTTAACATGCCCATAATCTTGTTGTTTATGTGTGATTTACATTGTCACTTTGTAAAGTGCCTCTGAACATGTTATATGAAAGGGTGCACTATAAATATGCTGTAATAATAATAATAATAATAATAGATGTAGGGTAACGGAATCTGTCGAGATTTGCCGAGTGCCTACATCCACAGAGTGCTACATCTAGATGTGCCGAGGTTTGCCGAGTGGCCTATATGGAACACGTGATCTCACTGAAGTCATGGTCATCCAGCGAATTCCTTATTGTATGCTGACTTGATTGTCCCTTATTGTATGGTGAGTGGTCTTATTGTATGGTAGCTTATTGTATGCAAGTTTGATCTCGTCCACGTATGGTACTATGGTAAGGGCAAGGAGGTCATTTCTTCAGATGTCTGGTTGGAAGTAAGTAGGGTTAAAGTACACTGTACAGAACAGGCTAATACAGAGAGTCCTATACTGCTATACCGGTATATTATTTTTACCTCACCGGTAGCTAGCCTATTCTCTTTCTTAAAGTTAAAGGAGCTAAATAGCCTAAATCGCTAATAGTAATATTTTGGATCTAAAAATTGACACAATATGGGTCGCAACGTATATAATATTAATAATGTAATGTGAATGTATATAAACTGATTTACATTCAATCGTTTCTATTTTTACTGCAATTTCTAATCAGTTGTATTCGTCAAAACACGCCAGAAGTCTCCATCCAATGGCATTGGCAATCTCTAGCGTCTGGTTATTCCAATCTACACTGATAGTATTTATTGCGCATGCTCTTCAGATAAGAATATGACATCACCGTTTGACATGACTTGTGGAATATATCTAGCCTCTTTCTACAAGTCCCTTGTTAAAATTAATGGCGCTGAAATGCACCGTGGTACACGATTCGTGTACCGTAAAATGTTTATTTTGTCTTAATTATTGGATATCAGAAGCCCATCTTTTCCCCGTAAGATCACAACATCAATGTTGATTTAAATTGAACTAAAGATTAACCTACCATTGTAATGCTAATACCACTACCTGACCTAATTCTCTTAAACAGATTTTAATATTACCTGTAGCCTATTATGTATTATTTACCTAAGTTTTACTATCTGAACTGTGGCAAATTTTAAACGGATTTCTTCGATTGTGAACAAACTACTGAATATTTGTTATTAAAAACTTGCCTATGTGTTTCAAATCACCTCCGGTTGAATAAACTCCAATTGCACAATTAAATATCCCAACGAAAAAATAAGTTCTCTCTTGAAAAGTCAATGTTTTTGCTTGTATTTTCAACTATGTCCATCACAACATTACACATGCCACGTGATGAGCTAATTTAGCTAAACCATCGTAATAGTAATATGTTGAAGGGGGTAGAGGTTGACAAATTTTGACAATCACGTGTGTTGTAATCAAAACCGGGCACGATCTTTGAGTTTGGGCAACAAAAATAGCAACTAATGACAATAACATTAAGTCGATCAATTGCCAGTCTACCAAATTTGATTCACAATGAATATATCACCGATTATACAAATACTCGTAACTATAATATTGCTTTTCACATCATCATCACCCCATAATTGTAAATACCCTGTATATAATATATATTTTTATAATTTATATTACATCCCTGTTAATTATAAGCAACTTTGTGGCTAACATTTATAAATAAACACACTTTGTTTCATAATTTTAATTGATCATATTTCATAACAGGGTCTAATTCCAATTCTCTGTGTAGTCCATTTTCAAAGTTTATTATGATTAATAAAAAATAATAATAATAATGTATATTTATACATAGCGCCAATTCCATCCAAAATTACATGCTCAAGGCACAGTCATGACACTCTGTACACTTTACACTAGTAGCTTGATAACTCGTATTCTAGATTAAATAAATGAGTTTTCAATTTTGTCTTAAACAATTTGAGAGAACTTGACGTTTTAATGCTGTGTGGTAGGGAATTCCATGCGATTGATGCATAACATCTAAAAGATTTATAACTAAAGGATTGCAATTTTAATTTCGGTATGTGTAAAAGGCACTGTTCTTGGGAACGAAGATTTATTATTGGTTCATAAACTTGCAAAAGTTCAGTCAGATATTCTGGGCTGGATCCAATTAAGCATTTAAACACAAGACACAAGATTTTGAACGTTATTCTGGAGAAACCAAGCTGATTGGGATCATGGCTTATTGGGACCATGGCTGATTTGGACCAAAAGTCATAGCTGATTCGGACCACATTCCAGGCTGATTGGGACCACCAATACGCTGATTCGGACCAGTATGGAACTGATTCGGACCAAATGATAAAAAAAAATACTAGAAACTGAGGTTTTGGTATTGAATTAAGTTTATGTATATAAAAGCAGTCAAAATGTTTATCCTACCTTGTTCAGAAAATAAACATAAGAGATTTATAGACTCAATTTTAACACCAGTACATGTAAACGAGTAGGTAGTATCGTGGAAAATGTACTAGATTACTACATGAAAATTACTCAGATCTTACTGACAGCCACAATAGGGAATTTGTGTGATTGGATCTGATTATTTATTGGATTACTCAGCTTGTCATTAATTAACAATAAATGGTGTGATTAGGTTCTTGTATATTTCTACCTGAGTTTTATACTATAAAGTGTGATTTAATTAACTTTATACCCATACTTTTTCTCGACTCTTTGATGAAAATGGGAGGGTATACACCGATACACGGCCACTTTTGAAAAGTGGCCATGTATCAGTTGAAAAGTGGCTGTGTATCAGTTGAAAAGGGACAAAAATAACAAAATCATGATTTACATATTTATTTGAACATCTACAACCCGTTTTGAACATGTTATGGTAAAAGAGTCATCATTTTCAACTGTTTCAGCACTTTTCGAATGTTCGTCACTCTCAGTCATATTCTTACATTTTGTCTCACATTTCTTTACATTTTGATATCTAGTCGCACTTTCACATTTTGTCGCGGCTTCTGCTCATCCGCAGCACATAATCCAAATATTTTACTATTATAAATTAATCTCTTGGCATTTTCAACACTAAAAACTTCCACATTTTGTCGCGGTTTATGCTCATCCGCAGCACGTAATACAAATATATTACTAGTATAAATTAATCCATTGGCATTTTCTACACTACAGACTTGAACTCTACAATTCCAACCTGTTCCAACTCATCTTCATTTAATGGCTGTTCTTGTTTTTGTCTGTCAGTGGATGTCAATACCTTGCTTATCAAAAAAGTTAAAATCCAATCTTTTGTACTGATCTCGAAGTGTCACCATATTCCTATGCAATTGGTATTTTTCCTCGTGTTTGGCAGAATTCGACTCATCTGCATGGCTTTAATTTCTTGTTCTGTGAAGGATCGGGCTTCTAAATCTTCGCGATCATTGAAATCTCTTGCAGAACTGATATTCTCGGTCTTAGAAATATATATCTGTGACATTATAAAGTAGGATTCTTCGACGAATTCCCGCATTCATTTCTGCCAGGATGTTGGCAAAACAACAAGAAATGGCTACATGTATTGTACAAAATGATTGGATGGCGTTTGCTTTTCTCAACCAATCAATATCCCTGTTATGAAAATTTTCCCTGATCTGATTTAAACTGCACGTGCTGTGTACTGACATCATTTACCTGAGCAGAAATAAGCGTTTGCGATGAGATAATTGGGGGGCTCTAAATGGGAAACTTTCATAAATTTGTGAAATGAAAAATGCTTTTGAAATTGGGAAAAATAGAAAAAATCTCTATTTCTCGAAAAAGTATATACACTGTCTCTTTTTTGAGTGGAGATCTCCTCGGCTTTGCCTCGGAGCCCCACTCAAAAAAAGAGACGGTGTATCAACCCATACACTTTGAAAACAAGGTATATAACTTTTACTTGTTTAATGTGTATTTGTGTATATTGCTAAGAAAATTTTACACATTTGTCAACCAATTTAGTGTATTGCATTCAACACTTGTCTAGATCAGGAAGGTCTGTCTCAGCTACTACATGGTTAGATTACATTTATCAGAATAAATAATTAAGATGGAAAATGGGATGGCCTAGTGGTCTAGAGTGTCACGCTTCAACCTCTAGTTGGCCAGTCACCTCTGGCTTGCGGTTGTGGTTTCGATCCCTGGTGTGAGCGTATGTGGCTTGGACATAGGGCCGCTTCTCAACCATGTGGGTTTACTCCGGGTACTCCGGTTTCCTCCCACAGCAAAGACCCCTGCGCATGCACTAAGATCATTAAAATGAAAATAAAAACAACTTGTCTGTGATATCACCTTCTGTGGAAGTGGATGTAAACCCTAAGAATAACAGAGAAGAGATGCTCACATCATTGCTCCTTGAAACTTGATTAAAGATGCCTGTGCCAATTGTCTGTCATTATTTAAACTTCATTCATTACAAAATATCGCATTCGTTGCAGTAATTATACTGGTATGGGACTATTTGATATTGGGTTACAATTTGATAATACTGGGTAGTATTTATTGTAATACAAACATATTTTAAATACTCTCATCATTGGTCTGATTTAAAATTGGCCTTATCATGGCCCGAATCAGCCAAGAATCTGGTCCCAATCATCCAAGAATGTGAAGCATCTTCTCTGTGATTTAGCTCATTTGTATTGAAGCCATCAATCACTAATTACACTATTTATTGTCATTTTTATACGCCCACATTGAAATGTGGTCATACATTGTCGTCGCCCCCGACCGTCCGGCGGTCCGGCGTCCACAAGCAATTGTGGACGCTCTAGAGGCTAAAGTTAATATCTGATTGACTTTAAATTTATACACAGTGTTCAAGGTCTTGAGATGAAGAATCCTATTGATTTTCATCGATTTCTGATAATTACTGCCAGAGTTATGGCCCTTGATCACTTTGAAAAATTTTGTGGACGCTCTAGAGGCCCTTGATCACTTTGTGACACTCTTAAGGCTAAAGTTATCATCTGATTGACTTCAGTTTGATACACAGAGTTTAAGATCTTGAGACGAACAAGTATATTGATTTTTATACGCCCACATTTTCATGTGGACGTATTATGCCGTCGCCCCTGTCCGTCCGGAGGTCCGTCCGTCCACAATTTGTTGTGGACACTCTAGAGGTCACAATTCTTATCCGATTCTGACGAAACTTGAAATATAGGTTTATCTCCAAAAGATCTCGGTTTCTTTCGATATTGGCATGTATCGGATTGAAACTTCATGAATTATGGCCCCTGTCTGTACGAAAAATCACGTTTTTAGCTTGTGGACCCTATAGAGGTCAA